CCACTGAGAACCTGTGGAGCACAGTTCTACTCTGACACACACGGGGCACCATGAGTGGAATCTACTTATGAAACATCATCCACTGAGAACCCTGTGGAGCACAGTTCTACTCTGACACACACGGGGCACCATGAGTGGAATCTACTTATGAAAACTCACCCACTGAGAACCCTGTGGAAAACAGTTCTACTCTAACACACACGGGGGTGCCATGATGGAATCTACTTATGAAAACTCACCCACTGAGAACCCTGTGGGGCACAGTTCTCCTCTGACCACACAGGGGCGCCATGATGGAATCTACTTAAGAAAACTCACCCACTGAGAACCCTGTGAGGCACAGTTCTCCACTGACACACACGGGGCACCATGAGTGGAATCTACTTATGAAAAATCATCCACTGAGAACCCTGTGGGGCACAGTTCTCCTCTGACCACACGGGGGCGCCATGATGGAATCTACTTATGAAAAATCATCCACTGAGAACCCTGTGAGCACAGTTCTACTCTGACCACACGGGGGCACCATGAGTGGAATCTACTTATGAACAATCACCCACTGAGGACCCTGTGGGGCACAGTTCTACTCTGACCACACAGGGCACCATGAGTGGAATCTACTTATGAAAACTCACCCACTGAGAACCCTGTGAGCACAGTTCTACTCTAACACACGGGGGCACCATGAGTGGGATCTACTTATGAATAATCACCCACTGAGAACCCCGTGGGGCACAGTTCTACTCTGACACCATAGCGTCATCGGGAGTCAGGGTCAACTGTCCAAACAAGGATTTCTCAATACAGACAGCCCCCTTAAGGACTTGGGTGATATTACTCCAAAATAAATGCTAATAATCTGTGATTCTTCCAGAAGAGAGCTTGGCTTCTAGCTCTGTCTCTCTGGGGTCCTCTGCCAGTCCCCTGGACATACTCACACAAACGTCCAGCCAAAACCTACAAACATGAGCCGCAGCCAGACATCACAACCATGGGAAGGGTTAAGAAAACATCCTCTTAAGAGATACTTGAAAACACAAGTGGGCTGTTGACATGCTTTGGACTTGCTGTCTGGATCTGCATTCCCACAATGGTCACTTCTTACTCGGCGAGGGGAGGGACAGTTAATGGGGTGCAAGAAATCTTTAACCATATTCAGCTGCAGTGGTCTTTATCCGAAAAACACAAAGCTGTTCCTCGAAAGTTCTTCATTTGTGCCAGTCCGAGGCTAGCCGACTGATCCTGCAGGTTTTTCAGCCGTGAGAGATTGTCTGTTTCCTTCAGTCTGTCACTGAGGGTTTGTGTCAACTGGGCTGGGAGGATTCTCAGTGGTGTGGCAGATACGATGTAGTCTTTACCTCTTCGGATGTGATGGGTCGTGATCAGCTCTGAATTGATGTAATGGTTCCACCTGTTGTAAGTTCTCACTACTATGATGGTTAAGAAGTCTGGATACATTCAGCAGGATTAGGTTTGGATCTGCGTCAATCTTCTGAGACATGAAAGTGATGAAACAAGCAAGCCGAGTCAGAGGACCTACTGCCACCAAGACAGATGGTCTGAGAGCAGAGTGCGTCCTCTGGACCCAGGGTCTCTGACTGTGAAGCTCTTTGATCCCGGGGAATTGATGAATTTGGGCTTCCAGGCTCCTAAACTTGACAGAATCAGTCATTGGTTAAAAGTGTTCACTGGAAGATTTGTTGTAGCAGCCCTTGAGAACGGAGACCCCTCAGAAACTGAACACAGCCCCCTTGGTAGGAGGGGCTGAGGCTGCTTAGGAATCTTGGACTTTGTACCTGTTGTGCCCACGGAACCTGAAGTAGGTGCCGTCCACGTTACCTGTGCCCACGTCTCCCTTAGCTGCACAGGTCCAATCCCGGGGCTTGTGGTCAGTATGTGAAGACCGCCTCTGAAGTGCAGGGTGGACTTGTGTCCCTTGAAGCATCTCGTGTGTTTTCCTAGGTAGCATTGAGGATTCCCTTTGCCCCGGATCTGATGGAGAATGAGAGAGCCCCAGTGAATCCACCAGGAAAACTGAAACAGAGCAAAGACAAGTCATCACAAGTGAGCAAGGCACTGAGGTTGGTCACCGAGGTGTTTAGTTGACCCGGCCAGAGATGACCGGTGGAAGGACTTGGTCCCACCAGGACCGTTATGTTGTTAAGTGCTGGTGAGTCGGTTCTGCCTCATAGCAACCCTGTGTCACAGGGCTGGGAAACAGAAGGTCGGTCTGTGGTCCGTAGGAGGCCCATGAAATCACTTGGTGTAGCCCTGCCAAGGCAACACATTACGGGTGAGTTCATTAAAAGTTTGACCCAATATAGCAGGCCAGTTTTTAACTTGATAATTTTGTATGACCCGTGAATGATACAGATTTGGGCAGAAAAAAAGTTTCTCCATCCCTGGAGACAGAGCCTTCCTCGCAGCTCCGTGTGGTGTCATTGTGTATCTGTGCCCTTGGCAGGGCTTGCCCACGCGTGCGTGTGCCCAGGTGAAACACCCCATGCTGCGGGCTGCACTCCCACCCCTCAGGAACACAGCCTGGGCCATTTCTGAGGTCTGTGTCCTCAATGCAAGGGGATTCTGGGATGCCTAAACTATGAGCTTCCGCCAGCAGGGGCCGCCAGCGGTCCTCCATTGGCTCCAAAGTGCAGAAACCTGGCCAGAACTGGGTTCTGTTTGGGCAGGGCCAGCCTTTACTGCTCCCCTCTAACCTGGAACACCAGGTGAAAGGCTGTCTCTCGGTCACACACGTGGGACCTGAGCAACAGTCAGTATGTTTAGGACCAAAGAATACTGATCCTACACCCCTGGGCACTAGTTAGGGATTGATGGTAACCTAGTATTTCCTGTGAAAGCAAACACTGGCTGCCCTCCTTCACAGGGCTCAAATGTGCCCTGTCCCAAGTGTGCAAACCAATGAAGACAGGGGCATCCTGCCAGGACATCTGGAGGCAGGGTCCCCGGAGGGAGGCCTCTGGGGCCTGGGGGGGCGGGCAGTGGGGAGAGGTTGGTTTGGAGAAGGCAGCCTTTCCCTAAGCTGCAGGAGAACCTGTAAGACTGGATTCTGAGGGAAAACCCCGCCCCTCTGCCCCCAGGGGCCCTCTGGAGGAGGTGGTCAAGCAGTAAATTCAGCAAGTCCCAGAGAGAAGGAAGCACTTTGGGGTGGGGGGGGGTGGTACTGCTGGAGGAGGACGTGAGTGATGACCAGAGGGCCTCCCAGCCCCCTCTGGCCCTGAATTCCCAAATCCCGAGGTAGCCATGTGTGCCCACACCCTGGTGGAGGCTGCGTCTTCACAGACACCTCATCCCTGGACACAGCACCCACTTTCGGCCCACTGCCCACTGGCAGGCGCTTCTCTCCTAGAGTGGGGGTGGAGGCCTGCACAGACACTGCATTCTCCCTTGGTGGGGAACAGCTGTTCCCGAAAGAGACTGTTGGTAGAGGGAATGAATGAACTGAAGGGGGTGTCTCCAGACTGAAAAGGCCCCGAAGTGCCCAGCCCCGGGACTCAGTGTTCTTAGTGGGGGCCGAGGAGATGGCCACAGAGGGTCAGGAAGTAGGAAGGAGGATTGAACTCCTCTGTGGTAACTCAGTGGGTGAGAAGCCAGCACCTACACCTTGGAAAGTGTGTGTGACTAAGGACCTGTGAGGTAGAAGACGAGGTTTTCATGAGGTGTTGTTAGGTGCCACTGACTGTGTTCTGATTCATAGTGACCCTCCGCACAACAGTGATACACTGCCCAGTCCCACACCAGCCTCACAATTGTTATGCTGAAGTCCACTGCAGCTGCTACGGTATCAGTCCACCTCGCTGGGGGGTCTTCCTCTTTCTTGCTGACCCTCCACTTACCAAGCATGATGTCCTTCTCCAGGAATTGGTCTCTCCTGATAATATGTCTGACGTGTGGAAGATGAAGTCTTGCATTGCTGACTTCTAAGGAGCACTCTGGCTGTGCTTCTTCCAAGACAGATTTGTTTGTTCTTCAGGCAGGCAGTCCATGATACTTTTAATCTTCTTCTCCAGGACCATACCTCAAATGCATCAATTCTTTGACAGTCTCCCTTATTCATTGTTCAGCTTTCACATGCATATGAAGCTATTAAAAACACCATGGCTTGGTCCTCAACCTGACATCTCTGCTCTTGAACACGTTAAAGAGGTTTATATAGACAGCAGATTTACCTAATGCAGTATGTTATTTCAGTTCCTGACTGCTGCTTCCATGAGCGTTGATTATGGATCCCAGTACAGTGAAGTCTTTGACAACTTCCATCTTTTTTCCCTTTATCATGATACCATTTACTGGTACAGTAGTGAGGACTTTTTTTTTCTTTTTCCTGCAGGTGTAGAAGAAGGTATTTTCACAAGGGCCTGTGAGGGTGGTCTCATGAGGGGAGAATAAGGGGTTTTCCCCAGGGCACTGTGGTTAAGTGCGTTGACTCAGTTCCGACTCATATCTACCCTGTATAGGATTTCTGAGGAGTGGTTGATGGGTTTGATATGCCGACCTTGTGGTTCACAGTCCAGTTCTGATCCTATAGTGCCACACCAGGAGTCCTTACCAGGACATATGAGGTAGAATAAGGAGGTTTCATGAGGGTTCAAACCCACCAGCCACTCCTTAGAAACCCTATATAGGGTTGCTATCAATGAAGGCTTAACTACAACAAATGGAATAGAGAATAAAGTGTTTACCCAAGAAAGTGTGGGGTAGAATAAGGATAAGGTGCTCTACTGAGGTAGAATGAGGCATTTTCACAAGGACGTGTGAAGTCAAATAAGAATAGGTATTTTCCTGAGGGTGTGTGAGGTACACAGTGAGCTGTTCTCAGACATTTTCTCTGGAAGCTCTGTGGAAGGCATTCTACTCAAACCTGGGAGTAGACCAAGAAATGAGGTCTCCAAAGTTCCAAAAAATAAAGGGGGCCCAGGGGCCTTTAGACCTTCAGCTGTGAGAGGGACCCCAAGTCTCAGGGGACATGTGATGTAATCCAGGGATTCAGCCAGGTAGGTACAAGAGAGAGGGTTTAATGACAGTGATGTAGAAAAACAAGGGATTGTTTTAAAGGAGGCAGTTGTTTCCCACATAAGGATGGGAACGAAAATGTCACGCATGAGCCTTTGATGGATCAGCCTGGCTCAGGCCAGCGTCTGCACTCACTCAGGGGCCTGAGATTGTGTACGCAGCACCCCGGGGGTGTCCTCAGCGAGGGGTCAGGCAAGCCCAGCAGGCCAAGCGCAGCCACAGGGGGCCAGTGTGAGAGCGCTGCCCTGTCCCCACATGCAGGGCCCAGGTGCAGAACTCCACAGACAGATGTCCTTCCTGACTCCTCTCCCTCTTCTTCTCCCCAAAGGCCAAGAAGCTCCAGGAAGAAGTCAGGAGACTAGGACTGCGTCTGAACCAAGGACAGCAGCTCACAGCTCTCCCTGGGCACCTTCCACTTCACTCGCCCACATCACAGCCTCAAAAGATATTTTTTAACATTAGAAATCAGAAACTGTTTACAGATAGCTAACAACGCAGTAACAATGGGCCCGGTGGAGCCATCTCCAGGCCGGAGGTGTTGGATCCGGACTGTGTTTCCTTTCTCAGGTGGTGGAGGGAGGAATAATGGGACTCTGTGTTATGATTTATGTCCCAGACAGCACCTTGGTTCTGTGGAGGCTGTAAAGAGTTAAAACTGCATGAAAGAAAACAAGCTGCGTCACTGTTATTTCTCTGTCGTTCCCCTCCCCCATCGGACAGACAGCCTGTTCTGGACCTGGCCAGCCCTGGCCACTTCTGTGGGACGTCTCGAAGCTGGAAAAGCGTCCCCAGGCCAGGCCAAATGCAGCCAGCATTCAGCTGCAGTGTGGTTGAGGGGTTGGAGGCTTTGGGGCGTTGTGTGACAGATGATCAGTGGGGAGACTCTTCTCTGCCCCCACCAGGGTCCCTCCCTGCTTATGAGGACAGCAGATGTGGGATGGCCTTGTTGACCAAAGTGTGTGGAGCCAGCCTTTGGGGGACATGCTCAGAGGAGGAAGCCCAGAACAGGCAGGAAGGGGAGGCTGTTTGAGAAGAGGTGCCCAGGGCATCCAGAGGCAGGCCAGTGGGGCTCCTTCATTTTCTGCCCTGTAGAGGAGGGTCACCGGGCATCCAAAAGCTGACAGAGACAGGTGGGTGGGGCTGGGCTGGGTCCAGTTCACGCTCAGAGAGGGTAGAGGAGGGTCCCTGGTTGCACGGCAGTTAAGTGCTCAGCTGCTGATGAAAAGATAAGTTCCCATTGGCTTTGTAAAGATGACAGCCTCCAAAAGCCGATAGGGCAGCGCCGTCCTGTCCTATAGGGTCGCTGTGAGTCAGAAGATTTGGCAGCAGGGGGAGCCTCAGAGTGGTGCAGTGAGGTAAGCACTCCACTGCTAACCAGAAGGCTGGCAGTATGGGTCCTCCGACAGGCGCTTCAGAAGAAAGGTCTGGTGATTACTTCTAAAAAACCCTATGGAACACAGTTCCACTCTGACCATACAAGGGCATTGCAAAACCGATGCCACAAAACTAGTGAACTGGTGACCTTGTAGACACTGGACCTTTAAGTCCATGTAGAAAGAGACTGCACACATCAAGGGACAGAGAAAACACGATCTGGTGTGGGCCCTCAAAGTTTGCCTCTGTGCCCCGGGGTCAGGGGGAGGTGCAGGGTGGACTCGGGATGCAAACAGCCCGACCCCCGCCCCCAAATTAGTCAGCCTTCCCGGATGTCCTGTCACCCCTCCTCAAACTCCCCCACATGGTGACGAACCAGCCTCTTGCCAGTTACATAAAGCCCCTTGCCCCCCCCACAATATCCCAAATTTCTGAGTCTCTCTCTTATCCCCACACCCCCACTTCAGCCCTCCCCTCCAAACAGTGCTTCCTAACCCTGAGCTTGTGGCTGCCCGTGCTGGGTCACCCCCTTGGGACTGCCGGCCCACCTCCATCAAGCATTCCCTGTCCTCAGACTTTGTAGACCCTGGTTCACACACTACCTGGGAAAGTTCTGATCCCAGTCCCCAGCAGGCACCTTTATGAGCCAAGTGGGTTTCACCTGGTGGCAGCCCTGAGCTCTGTCCCGGCCACTCCCCTACTCCACCAGTGTATCTGGGACTGGGTGGGGGCAGGGTCGCGGCCGCCTAGTGTTTCGGCTCCAAAATCAGCCACGCCCAGTTCCTTTGGGCTGCCACGGCCGCCAGCTGCCTGGAGCGCCCTTCTTTCGGCCTCATCCTCACCCTTATAAAGTCGGCGGTGAGGCCCTCTGGGCCATCCCTGCTCTGTGCGACCGCCGCAGGACCGAGGTTCGGTAGTCCCGGCGGCGCCAGGGGCGGTGGCCTTGGCGCTGGTCAGGGCCTAGGCGGGCCGGAGGCGTCTGGGTCGTCAAGACAACCCACCGCCAGACTGCATACAGGGGCCGGCCCGGCGGGGAGCCAAAGTCTGGCAGCACTCAAGATGGTTCCGGTCCTGGCCATGTGTAGGACAAGCAAGGCTTCAGGAAGTCCGGAGCTTTTACTGAGCTGGAGGTGCCGTGGTCCAGAGTGAGGGTCCACGCCCCCCTCACCCACTCCGTGATCCCTGCCACGCCCGGAAAGCCCCGCGCTGGGGAGCCGATTCTTTCCACGTGAATCGGCCACAAGGCGCCCTATTTTCCCGGAGATCTCAAGTGGGGTCATCCTCCCCAACCTTGCTGCTGACCACTCCCTTGCGCACAGGAAGGTCCCGAACTGGGCGCCGCCCTCTTGTCGCCCGGGAAGGCGCCGAGCGCACGAGGGTCGTCCAGTGTGTCCCCCCCCCCCCAGGTCATCCGCGACGGTAGCGAGGCTGAGTCTCTGAGGGGCGCCTGCCGGGACCCCCTCACACACGCCCCTCATGTCCTCGGCCCAGTCAGATCAGCTTCCTGCGCGCCCGGGGACTTCCTCTCCGCAGTGCTCTGGAGCCGCCAGCGCCCAGCGCGGGGGCGCTGCGGGACCTCAATACCCCGGGCGCCCGACTCCGGGCAGGCCCCAGGAGGGGAGACCCCGGAGGCAGGAAAGCCGTGGAGGGGGGATTCCAAGACGGGAAGGGCAGGGGAGCCAGAGAAGAGGCCAGGGGAAAGGGGACCGGCACTGGGGGGAGGGTGTCCCGAGCCCCCCAGGATTCCTCACTCTCGGGGTTGCCCGGTCGCCCCCCGGCACACAGGGCGGAGCTGCAGCCCGCGGAGCCCCGGGGTGGGACGTAGACCCTTCCCCGGCCCTGTGGAGGGGGCTCCGCATTGCATTCGCAACCCGACTCTGGAAGCAAGTCCAGCGCGAGTCTGCGTTTGCGTGCCGGGCGGCCGACGTAGAGACCGACCCAGGTCCGCCAGCCCGCCCGGCCCGGCCCGGAGCGCTGTGACGTCAGCCCGGCC